TCACACCTCCTCCTCCATGCTTCACAGTGGGAACCAGGCATGTGGAATCCATCCGTTCACCTTTTCTGCGTCTCACAAAGACACGGCGGTTGGAACCAAAGATCTCAAATTTGGACTCATCAGACCAAAGCACAGATTTCCACTGGTCTAATGTCCATTCCTTGTGTTTCTTGGCCCAAACAAATCTCTTCTGCTTGTTGCCTCTCCTTAGCAGTGGTTTCCTAGCAGCTATTTGACCATGAAGGCCTGATTGGCGCAGTCTCCTCTTAACAGTTGTTCTAGAGATGGGTCTGCTGCTAGAACTCTGTGTGGCATTCATCTGGTCTCTGATCTGAGCTGCTGTTAACTTGCCATTTCTGAGGCTGGTGACTCGGATGAACTTATCCTCAGAAGCAGAGGTGACTCTTGGTCTTCCTTTCCTGGGTCGGTCCTCATGTGTGCCAGTTTCGTTGTAGCGCTTGATGGTTTTTGCGACTCCACTTGGGGACACATTTAAAGTTTTTGCAATTTTCCGGACTGACTGACCTTCATTTCTTAAAGTAATGATGGCCACTCGTTTTTCTTTAGTTAGCTGATTGGTTCTTGCCATAATATGAATTTTAACAGTTGTCCAATAGGGCTGTCGGCTGTGTATTAACCTGACTTCTGCACAACACAACTGATGGTCCCAACCCCATTGATAAAGCAAGAAATTCCACTAATTAACCCTGATAAGGCACACCTGTGAAGTGGAAACCATTTCAGGTGACTACCTCTTGAAGCTCATCGACAGAATGCCAAGAGTGTGCAAAGCAGTAATCAGAGCAAAGGGTGGCTATTTTGAAGAAACTAGAATATAAAACATGTTTTCAGTTATTTCACCTTTTTTTGTTAAGTACATAACTCCACATGTGTTCATTCATAGTTTTGATGCCTTCAGTGAGAATCTACAATGTAAATAGTCATGAAAATAAAGAAAATGCATTGAATGAGAAGGTGTGTCCAAACTTTTGGCCTGTACTGTATAGAGCATGTAAACATAGTAACCCAAAATACAAGAACGAACCTGAAAATTTGAAAAATAGGTCGCCTTTAAGTTTTGTCTTAACATCATCATATACTGTATAGAGCTCCGGTAGCTGACGTCATGCAATCCCGGCATGCAACAATCGAAATCAGAATGACGCCATATAGGCAGGAAAATGCTCTGTTCAAATGACTGACAAGCATAGAACAGCTAACAGCTAACTTGTCTCTTTTCCGGGCTGTACTCATATAAAAGTGAACATGGTGGACACCTGTTGTCAGAACAGTCGACACGCGAAGGGGAGAGCATTTTATCGAATCCCCAAAGATCCCGAAAGACGGTGGAGGTGGATTACTGCCATAAAACGTGCCCGAAGTGAGCAGAAGAAAACAGAGCGGTGGGAGCCCACAGGCAACGGATTTCGCTTGTGTAGTGATCACTTCATATCAGGTACAGAATCCGACGCTCACCTTACTCAAACTTTAATGTTTATTTTACATGCTTTTATTGTGATTTCTAATCGTTTAATTTTCATAAAAGGCAAGTTTGACCTTTGAATTATGGCGTGGATTTTGCGGACCTAGTAAAGGGATGTTGCTCACTCAATGAGCAATGCGAAACAAATGTGGGATAAGAAAATTACTTACATTATTTTATTACAGTTATATGTAAGGCTGCTGATATGTCATGTGTCATTGTTTTGCCATGGGGATCGTGCAATATATCACTAGATTCTGTCATTTTTAGCAGGAGGGTGTGTATATATTGCATAAATGTATATATTCATAAATACTCCTGAAAAGCACCCTAGGGGCATTGTAAGGGTTAGATATGTTTAACCGGTCAAGTTTTGTGATATAACACTCAATTTCTGGGCTTTAAAGTGCAAAGTGAACTCTGACGACCTGAAACCAGCATTGGCGCCATTTATTTTCTCTCAAGACTTTCCTGCCAACATTCCAGTGTAACGGTGTCATGTGACGTCCGGAGCTCTATAGATACACCATGTACTGTGTAGATAATTCAGAAAACACACTTATCATCTTTTCTCTAGCTTTATCAAAGCACAAGCAGTAGCTGTCAGCCATTGGCTGCTAACACAAAGGTCATCAATCAATCAAACTTTATTTATATAGCGCCTTTCATACATCAAATGCAACCCCATAGCATCTTGAGGTCAAAGTTCAATGAATTTAAACTTTTGGAGCAGCACAGTTATGCACATCACACCCAAAACATCAGCACAGGACCGTTGCTAGAACATCACGCAATAACTAATGGAGGACGTACAAACAAAAGCTGGTTTTCTGCTATTCTATGATAAAATGAATATTTAGCTCACGGGTAGTTCAATTGTCTGTACCATCCACTTACCTTTGGCTCTCTGCTATTTTGCATTGAGCAGATATTATTCAGTCAGTATGTTTGTTCGAAGCAGCTGCTCTCTTATGGTTTAATGAGAGAGAGACGTCTTACAGTATATGTGCAGACCTTGTGTCCTGTATGAAGGCATCTGCAGTTGTGTTTCTTCACTCATTTAGTCAGATTTTCCTTCTAATTTGTTACTTGTTAGAACATAACACACACATATTCCCACATTGTCATTGTCGGCAGAGGTGTGGAGGTGTGTTATTGAGGTTTTTCTTTTAATTTGTCACTTGTTGTTATATTTATATAAGGAACACTGTGTAGTGTTTATACAGCTACCAGTCACTGTATTTTCTGTCCTCTGTGTTCTTACCCTCATGAAAAACTGCTATTAAATTACTACACAAAACCTATTAGTGTAGTAGTGGCTGTGTAGTCACCTGTAGTAATTGTGTAGTAAATCTGTAGTTTATACACTACTCATGACACACCAGTAGAGTTTTGTAGTAAAACAGTAGTGTTTCCAGTAGTAACCAAGCAGAGTAGTGAAAGAGCTGTTAAAACACTACTGCTTCATTACACAGGCATGCAAATAGTGATTATGTAGAGATTTTACTACTTGCTTGTATAGTAAATGTGTAGTCACAACACTACAGCAACACTACATATTTTACATAATGATCAAGTAGAGGTTTTTACTACTTGCTCATATAGTGAATATGTAGTCACAACACTACAGCAACACTACTTATGACACACCAGTAGAGTTTTGTAGTAAAACAGCAGTGTTTCCAGTAGTAACCAAGCAGAGTAGTGAAGGAGCTGTTAAAACACTACTGCTTCATTGCACAGGCATTTAAATAGTGATTATGTAGAGATTTTACTACTTGCTTGTATAGTAAATATGTAGTCACAACACTACAGCAACACTGCATATTTTAAATAGTGATCAATTAGATTTTAGTGCTTGAATATACATACTTGATGTGTACACACAGTAGTTTTTCATGAGGCTTTGTGTGTATCTTAAGTATCATAGTGTTCAGAATAGACAATGAGAGCCTACTGTAAAATTGTTTTTTGTTTTTTATATATAGAAGCGAAGGTAATTTCTCAGGGATTTCATTTCGGGATATTCCACTGAACATTCATATACATTTACAATTCAATAAAATTAAAGGATATTTGTGATATAATACAGTAACTGAAAACACAACAGAATTTTTTTAATTGAAATGATTTATTACTTTATAATTATCCAACCACACACACAATTTACAAAAACAGTTGTAGCCTGGTGAAATTAAACCAGCACAGGACACAGAAATATCTTTTGGGGTCTTTAATCTGAATAATAGAATATGGTGTTCAGCAAATAAAAAGAAATAATAACAGTTTCCAAATAAAAGTGGCAGACTGTCCTCTGCCCTATCTGCAGTCCTTGTAGATAAATAAAAAAAAGCAATTGTTTAAGTCTCTAAGAGGAGGTAGAGCTATAATCAGTCAGATGTGACAACTGTTTTCCTGTTGGACTAGTCAGGAAAAACTGCCCTGACAATTATAGTGAGATAAGAGTAGGAAGATGAAAATGTGTACATATGTGTAAGTTGCCCAGACGCACAAAAAAGTATCTGCCACCAATGCTCTACACCAAACAGGAAGTTGGCCATTTTGATTCAAATTTTTCAATTTGGCATTGATTTTGTGATTTCCACACCTTGTAATTTAATGAACTGTACAGGTACAAAAACAACAATCAGTAGTCATTTATTTTTTTAGTTTTGTCAACAACTCCCTTTCCATGTCTGTGTTTCTAATTTGCTGCAACATTATGGGTAAAATTAATAGCCTCTAGGCCCTGGGGACCTGGGGGTAAGTGATGACCTGAGGCTCTGGTCATCCAGCGACCTGACTCAGGACCAGCTTCTCTGCCTTTTGTTGGACGTGGTGGAGGTGGAGGTGACCACCACCTGTGCTTTTTTCCACATGTTCATCTACTCAACAGGATGTTAGGAGACTAGATGTGTGGTAATCAGCATCTGTTGGTGGTAAAAGCTACTCAAGCTGAAATAGCGACTGAGTAAACTTTTACTTTGTTTAATATGTGGAATATGAATAAAACCAAAGTGAGGAGCAATCATGGGTCTGTTTTTAAATATAATTTTCACCCAATTATTAAAAACATTGAACAACATTTAATGACTTTATCAAAGGCTAATATGAAAAGAAAGTGATGTTACATTTAATATGAGTTACGCATTAACTCTGTCAGTGATTCTTTTTATGACTGTAGCTGTGTATTTTTTCCCGGAAGTTTTCTCCCCTGTTGTCATGGTGAATCATAGTATCAGAGATCCATTGATAATGGCTTTATAAATAAGATGCTCAAGTCAAAAATGTATTATCTTTTGACTGCTTGTCTCTGATATCTCCTAACAGTTTTCCAAGAAATTTACTTTGAAACCGATGCTATATTGCTGCATACTCTGTAGTTCTTATGCATAGAGTATGGCTGGCAGTGAATACTTGAAAGACATAGCAACAGTAACCAAGGGAGCGGGGCTTAGCTAAGGATCATGTTATCCAATGACATTCCGTTTGGACGGCACTCATTACGGTAAGTGGTAGGAGCTTGCTTGTAGCGTAGTCATTTTGTGAATGTTGCTCGTGCTTCTGACATTTTATGTGGGTTTGTATGCTATATAAACTATGTGTGTACCTACATTATATCAATCGGAATGTATTGTCACTAGCTCAGCTCTGTAAGATACTGTAGCAGTTCGTTAGCGTAGCCGTTCGTTAGCAAAGCGGCTAGTTAGCGTAGAGGCTAGGTAGCGTAGGACTTACTTAGCCCCCAGCATCCTTCGACTCAACAGGAGAGTGCGGTATTTTAGGTGTTGCGTAAGCTCACAATGGTTGTTTTTAAAATGTGGAATATTCAATGGCAATGTTTTGCCATTAGCTTAGCTTAGTAAGCTAGCGTAACTTAGCGGGTAGTTAGCGTAACGGTTAGTTAGCCGCCATTGTTCTCTGACTCGGCCAGAGAGTGATGTGTTGTAACTTAGGGGAGAGGGGTGTCGAACGGAGCATATTTTCATATTTCCCTCTCTGCACAGAGATGCATTTATTTATAGCAACCACATTTCATAGTGAACAACATACATATGTCCTCTACAAATCCCGACCATGTTAGCAAAGTTTGGATGAATGAGTCGCACTCAATCTAGCAGGAAACGAAGCTCATCTGCCTGTTTGCCTCCGCATGCAGGGATGAACAGATCCACGTTATAATTAACCACAAAACACGTAAATAACTTCATATTACTGGCGTATAACACTCATTAATGCTTAAGCTGAGTCCTCTGGGAAATGAGAATGTCCAATTGAAATAATCTTCTCATGTTTAATGTCTGAAAATGAATTACATTTGTCCAATGCTCTGTGATATAGCCTACTGTGTTTAACAAAGCATGTTCCAATGCAATTAAAGCTGTATGTGTTTGTGGACATAATTGATTTAAAAATACAAGTAGACAGTATTTGAAGAAGAAGTTAGAATGCAGTGTGGTCGTGAAACTGTTTGGCCTTGTCAATCAAAAAAGTGTATTAGTTGTGTGTGTGTGTGTGTGTGTGTGCGTGCGTGTATGTGTGTGGTAAGCTGCTGTCAGTGTCAAATCATTAGTAAATTATCAGTTTGATTTTAATAAGCTTAATAACTGAGTCTTTATACTTTTAGATGCCCCGTGGCAAGTCCTACCGTCGCTCTGAGGCGGCTAAGTGGAGGATGGTGGAGCGACAGTTGGCCTCCAGTGACGCTGGTGCATGTATGTGGCGTGCCTTCTTGAAATCAACTTTTCATGTATATCCTTGCTGTATGACTGAGTTAAACTCCTAACTTTGTGTATTTTTATAGTCTTGAAAAGTTCACATATTGTGTTGAAGTGCTTGAACTTTGAATTTGGTCTCCTTTTTTAAAAAAAAACATTTTATGTTCATCAACAGCTTGTGGCACAGGGTGGTGCTACAAAGTGCACAAGCGGTCAATTTCTGAGCACACTGGGCGCCAGCATAAATTGGTCATTCCAGTTGAGGTCCCAGGCAAGACGGTATGTACAATTGCAGATGGGATTGTGCTGATGCCAGAGGATTGCCACACCTTTGGCGTCATGTCCACTCCAGGGGCGTGCACTGACCAGCTCAGGACTGAGGATGAAAATGCTGTTCTTCCTCAGATCTCTGATGCTGTCTGTGTCATGGCCCCTAGCAACAACCTAACGGCCAGCAAGACACCTAAGCAAGGAGGCATAGCTTTTGGCCAATACCTGGCCACTGTCTGCAGCGTCTGGCCGACTGCACAGGTAGGTTATTCATGTATTCTTTTTAATGAGGCTGATATGTACAGGTCAATATGATTTTGTCATTAACCATTATTATTTTGTTTAGGTCTTCGCTGGGACCTTGTCCCACACTTGACAGTCCCGGGGGATATCCAGGAGTTTTTCCGGCATGAATTTCTCCACGTGTCAGCACGTCTCGGTATGTTTGAAAATAATGATACATTGTTCTAAACAGTTTTATGAAGGCTTATGAGAATTATATATTTTACATATAATTTCTAATATTATACTCATTATGGTTTTCTAATAAGAAAGTTGACATTGCCTTTTTAAAATGTGTTTTTCAAAAACTGTGTTTCTTTTCTTGTTCCTTTTTTTTTTAAGGTGTGAAATATTTTCACCACGCTGACCGCTTCCCCCTGAACAACCGCAAGCTGTGGTGCTGTGATGGTGTAAGTAGAATATATTATTTTCATATCATAAATAGAAAATTATTCAACACAGTATGTTTGACAATAAAGGTTACATTTTTCAAAATAATAAAAAAAAATTTTGTCATTGTTTTGTGTTTGTAGGTACACCCCAGTGATGACATGGGGATGCCTATCCTCGTGGAGTCGTTGTTGGCTGGCACCAAACAGCACCTGGAGATACCAGCACCTAAGCCACAGGTATCGCGCCCGGTGTCTACCAAGCCTCTGCCAAAGGTGGTTCCACGTGTGATTATGGTGGGGGAGGTTGTAGTTCCACGGGCCCCCCCTCCTGAGTGGACGTCTGTACAGTTGGGCAGGAAGGTAAGAGACTGAACTTTGTAAATATGTTTCATGAAATAAAAATAAGGTTGTGAATTGATCCATTTTTTTTTGCTTTTTGTCATTACAGAGGAACCACTCTGAACATGAGCATGGCTCTGGTTCATCACAGAGATGAGTGGTTCATCATGTGGTATGCGATCTTTCATTTAACCATGATATTTACATAACAGTGATAGTTTGTGTGCTTTATCTAAGAAAATGACAAGTGTTAGAAATAATCTACATGTCTGTCAACACTCTGCCTTGCGAGAGTGTTTCATTCATATTGTATATGGATTACGCTCGCGTAATATCACATAGGATTACGCTTGCGCGGGTCCTAGTCCTTTTTTTTGTTAACCAACTGGTCTTTTTGTGTGGGTTGGAGTAGTTCCTTGGGGGTAGTCTAGCTGTTATTTTAAGTGCATTCAATGGCACAAGACATGTTCCTGATCAAATATGTAATGTAATTAATGTATGTAATAATTTGCAATAAAATTGTATGATATTTTACACCCTGGTTTCATGTCTCACCTGAATACTGAACCATGATACTGAACTGGTAAATGGTAATGAATGGGACAGTTTCATCATCAGAAATTGTAAGAATGTTGTAATTTAAGAGTAAAAGTCAAGGAATGAGTTGTTTATATGTAGTCATTGCTTAAAAGTAAGACAAAAGTAATTAAGTGGTAATCATGTAGAGTTTCAGTAGTAATTCAAAAGGGTTTGTGTAGAAATAAGTAATTCAATAGTGATGAGTAGTGATAAAACACTACATACGCAGAAGGATGTAGTAATTCCATAGGGATTGTGAAGACATACAGCAGTAAATGTGTAAGCATTGTGTAGTAATTCAATGATAAATGTGAAGGAATGAGTAGTGATTATATAGTAATTTCCCAAAATCCAATAGTGAGACAGAAGTGATTGATAATCATGTACAGTTTGAATAGTAATTCAAAAGGGTTTGTGTAGAAATGAAAAGTAATTCAGTAGTGATAAAACACTACATACACAGAAATATGTAGTAATTCCATAGGGATTGTGAAGACATACAGCAGTAAATGTGTAAGCATTGTGTAGTTATTCAATAATAAATGTGAAGGAATGAGTAGTGATTATATAATAATTTCTCAAAATCCAATAGTGAGACAGAAGTGATTAAGTAGCAATTGTGCAGGGATTTGAATATGCATCATGTAGTAATTGTCAGTAGTGATCAGTAGTGAAATCACCAAATACATTACTCATTACTATTCAAATCACTACACAAATCACTACACAGCTCAATAGCAATCAAGTAGTGAAACAGTAGTTTTTGTGTAGGTATTTTGTAGTAGTGATGAGTAGTGATTCAGTAGTGTTTTTTCATGAGGGTATGCTTTTTTGGTTCTTGCATTTTTCTGTAAAGCTCAAGAGGATGCAAAGACATAATACACTACGAGCGCATTACTTTTTTTTTAACTTTCACTGGCTCCATGTAGTAATATTAGAACTTGAGACACTTTGTTAATATTTTATTCTCATATTATGGTTGTTTTTTACCCTGTCTGTCTCATGTTGGTATAAGCGCTTGTCCCGCTGCTGGGGTTTGTTATGAGGTCCCTCCCGTGGAGCAAACCATGTCAGGGCTCTGCGTGGCTGCTGGACCGATCCATTTATCCAAGCAGGGTAGTTCACACAGGTTTGACTGAGGGACTGAGGTGTATCTGCTCTGAAATGAAACATGTTTTGACAGCCTAAACAATCAGCAGGGAAAAATGCCTGGCTTCAGGTTTCAGTGAATGGTCAGTGTTATTATCAGTGTTATTATTTCAGAATTACATATCAGCAGATCAGTCCTGTCTTCAAAGTGTGGTTGATTAAAACATATTTGTAGCTATCCCCACTGCTTTTAATGCTCAGTTAATATGAGTAAAATATTATTTTCATGCCTTTTCATTAATCATACAGCAAATCCTAATAAATAATTACAATTTCAATGTCTGGCAGTCCTTTACCGCATGCCACTGTGTGAACATTTACCCTGTGTGGCATTTTTGTGCACTTTTGTCATGTTAAATTACACAGTCCAGAGACAGCAGAGTTAGAAGACAGATGCTGTCATAAATATAGCGGCCATAATTCAGTCTTGCTGAGCTGCAGAGAGCAGAAAACAGTGATAGGATGACAAAGAAGAAGGGAGACAGCTTATGGCATGGCTGTTCTCAAACAGCTCTTGACTACAGAGACGGTATGAGTGCGGGATGGAGATCACATGCACTGGAACAGGATTTAGATCTAAATGTATATTTGGATTAGACTGATGTACTGAATCACTCTGATGATGTGACAGACTGATATTGTCCACTGATAAACATCTGATATCAGTGAGTAATAGAGGACTGTGGGTAGTACAATGGTGTGTGTCAGTCTGTGGATCCAACCGCATGACAATAGATACACTGGAGTGTCTCATGATGGTTTCAATGTTGCCTCAGACATGTCTCCATCCTGAAAGCATTACAGTTTTGGAGAAAATGGAAAATTCTAAGAAAGGAATCGATAAGCACAAAAGTGTGATGCAGGTTTTCAACCAGTATTCATTCCGAAGTCTTCAAATACCAACACCTTGTCACGACCCTAAGGCCTCATTTACACCACAAGCGATGCATTCGCGTAGCGCTCGTGAACGGTCGCTGTTTACTCACATTTTCATTTTGGCGAGCATGTTAACAGGCTAGAGCATTCACACCGCATCCGTTCTACGCGCTGCTCGAGTTGTGCTGCTTTTGCAAGCAAGCTCAAAAATAGAAGAGAAGCTGTTTTTTTGCGCGAATCGTGAGCGAATGGTCGCTATATTCAACAAAAAACACGAGTTTGCGTGTGTTGTGACCTCTCTCGGCCACCGTAGACATCTCCCCCTTGACCAAGCGCGCGAACCTGTCCACCCTAGGCTTTGGGTCCAAACTAACTTTCTTTGGAGATTTGCAAACACTGTGCACTACTGCCACCAACTGTTCAGTTGTGCATCGGCTGCTGCGTGACGCGTCTGTTCGGTTTTGGTGTGAATACATGTGTGCTGCCGCTATGCTTGTGGACCGCTTCACAAGCGCTACGCAAACGCATCGCTTGCGGTGTAATGAGGCCTAAGTGTCAGAGAGTGGCACTGTATAGCGTCTGTATGCATTACAACATGTGATTAATGTTGTGAAAAGTTTGCGGTTAGATTTAGGCAACAAAACTATCTAGTAAGGCTTGGAAAAAAGATCATGTGTTGGGTCAAAATACATGTTGGGTATAATGCAGCGTGACATAAATACGTCATGTGAGTTGTATCAGTGCATGACGGCCTTACGTAAATTACATAACATTACGATAAAACTACATTAATTACTGTTTTCACATGTGCCATGAGCAGCAGTCTCTTGAGTGAAGGTCTAGTATTGTTTGACTCCACCCTCCCACCCTAGGCAAACTCTCTCACTTGCTCTCTGAATCAAGTACTGCTGCAGATGGGTTTACATTAGAGTTAGCTGAGAGCTTGATGTGTCTTATAGAACCTGTTTGTACCAGGTACTAACATGCATCTTGGGTGATTTGATCATAATTCTAAATAAAAATATGAACAACCACCAAGACGCATGATCCTATTACTCAAACCACATTCAGAGGTCATCTGGGCCACACTGATCCATCAAACAACTACGTGGTCAGCGATCTTTGCTTATGTGATGCCTCACTACATAAGAATACTTTTGTTGTTGGTGCAACTGCCCACATGCTGATCAGAAGGACCATCTCTGGAGCCACTCTCCTCCTGGGGAACGAGCAGATCAATGCCTGCCCGGTTAGTTCAAGCTAACACAGCAGCAACTGTTAAACAGTCAGTAACAGCTCGTGGTGAAATTGGGTGGGAGGGCTAATGCATTAGGCCTATGGCCTATACTGATCAATAGTTCAGCTGCAGTAACAGTAACATCACACCGAGATACAGTACCAGGTTACAGCAACAATACAATACAACAAAACCAGAAAGAATTAGGCTAACTACAAAAATGTTCTGATGCCAAAAGCTCTCTCTCTCTCTCTCTCTCTCTCTCTCTAGCGCGCGCGCTCGCTGGCTCACATGCGCGCACACACACGCACACACACACACACACACACACACTGACTATTTTCCATTGTACACACAGACAGGAAAGGTGGCTTGGTCCTAGGGCTGGGCGGTATGGCCTAAAATCAATATCATTATTTTGGGGGGATGCGATGACGGTATGATATCGCTGAATCGTCTTTTCTCTTTTTTTACACCTTAAATAAAACAAATTAAAAAACCATACAAGTCTAGGATAGAAACTATTTATCGTCAGAAGTAAAACGGTTGCTAATCCATCTATTATTGTGTAGAAAATATTATATAGTATGTATAAACGTTAGAAGGAAGAGGGAGGGCAGGCGGCTCCCGGGCCCCATTCTCCCACAGGCCTGAGTTTGGGGCGGTCGGCGGCTTAAACAGCTGTTTTTTTTTTTTGATGTTTGACTTTGGATAACGACATCTATCTATCTATCTATGAAAAGTTGCTACTAGGAAGGCTGTAGCCTATTAATGCCAGTGGGTTAGCTTACTGTTGGCAGCCTAGCCTAGTGAAATGATTACTGCAGTCGCGTGATTGGTTTGCAACTTGGTTGTGTTGTTGTTGTGTGATACACCGGCGCAGGCTATGTGTGTATGTCTGTCTGGGCATGTGATGAATATGGGACTGTGAACGAACTATAGTTAGTAACGCGTGATGGAGCAGGTTTCCAGACGCTCTGCCTAGCTTGAGCATTGTCATATCTAGAACTACCGGTATGTTAAAAGGAGTGCCCATCCGCAAAAATCCAGTGCACCTCCGCTAACAATTGTCTGATGCCGGGTCTGGATAACAGGTGGAGGCAGGTTGTTTATTTAGACCACAGCAGCAAACAGACATGGTGCATGCACAGGGACCGGACATCTGACCAGCAACACAGACAGATAGAAACTGGTGCCTTTTATACTGTGTCACTTTTCTACTTTCTAGGGTCCTTCCATGAACAGTTATTCACACATATTATGTCTACTCTGTATTTAACCTAAAGAATATAAATATTGAATATAATTAACACATAATATTTATCAATACATGCCTACTGGTACTTACCCCCTCATATAAACCTAATAATGATCCTTAAACATGCAGACTGATTGTCAACACCCCCCTCTCCCATCCTGTCACTTGGTCCCACCCGGAACATTCATATCGGTGTTCATACCCCCGGAGAACACTTTTAAGAGAACACCCTGGAGCGGACACAGGACAGGACAGGTAAGTATCAATGTACAACTTATACAATTGACTATAAAATCCACGCGCAACTTAAACACAATATAGCAGGCTATTTTTTCTGCACAAACTCTCTTTAAGTTAACTGTTGTTTATCGATAATGCACACATATGCACCAATGATCGGAGCTTATTTTTAACCCTCCCCTTTTCCAGGCGGAGCC